GCACAACTGTCGCCTGACTCATCGCTCATAACCAACAACACCTGTGTCTACGATGGAATTTTCACGAAATGACCTCTGTAACGCTAGTGCACTTAAAATGAAACTGTCCTACGACACAAGAGTCAACACAAACACTTTTTTCATTTGCCTCTGTTAGCATTTGCAAGCTACACCTGTCTCACATGCTAGAGCAGTGGAAGCATGCCACAACTACAAGCACCACCTCCTCTTCTTTCTTTTTATTTTGTTTACAGCGAACCTCCAATGGCGACAACTGAGGGCTTTCGCAGAGCGACACCGTTCCACTCTGGTAAACTTATATATGCTAGCATTGCCACACAAACATGTAGCAGCAAGAACAGTAGTGCATACGCGAAGAGTAATCGCATGAACAGTATAATGCAGAACGCATCACTACCCTGCTGCACAGTCTATTGAGTGAGGCGTCACAGTGTGTCGAGTTTGCTTCATTATCATGCGCAGCCTAAATAGACAATATCTCAAAAGACTAACTAATCAAAATAGCCAACCCTATGTAGTCCTCCGCAATAGTTCAGGAGACTATATCTGAGCACCAGCGACACTCCCCTAAAGCTGCCTAATGCACAATCCCCATTCGACCATGGCCCATGGCAAGTGATGTCCCAAGGAAGCACCTCCTGCACATTGCACAAAAGCATCTGACCTTCACCCTCCCTAGTAAAAAAAGCACGCCTGCCTTTCCCATTTATAAAAGGCTGCCTCGTCAACATGCAGTTGTTTCAGAGTTTGTAGACACAATCACCAATGAGCAATATGTGTTGCGATTCTTTATTAGAAAATTTATGAGGATCCTTTCAAAGAAACCTTCATTCAGATTAAGCCAGAAAGAAGTGTTTAGTCAATGGATTTGGAAAAGCACTGTACTAGACAGCACATCACCTCAGGATTCTCCAATCGTCAAGTAATAGCCGAGGCAGATACAAATTAATCATAATAAAGCAAGATACTGTGCCTAATAGATGAACCCCTCGATTGCTTATTGATCTTCACTAACTAGGAACTCTACTACAACAAAGTATAGTTTGCTCCCTCTTGACAAGATAATATAACCTGTTGAAGTTTAACATCCCGAAACCAGCATTTGATTATGAGAGACGCTGTAGCGCAGGGCTCCGGAAATTTCGACCACCTGGGGTTCTTTAACATGCACCTAAGTCTAGGCACACGACCTCAAGAATTTGTTGCCTCTGGTGTAAATACAGCCACTGCAGCGGGGAACCTTTTGACAGGAGATTGCTTCACATGAATGTGTGAATGCTTGCTTTAACCGATGTCACAGGAAGGTGCACAACACTTGCTTTGCGCTGTATTGAACTCTTGTCAATTGCTGTGAGACAGAATAGGATGCATCTGGACTGCAATGATTTCCTGATGCCATGCTTTTTCGGCTGGTCTAATAACCAGCCCAGAGCTGAAAGAATTGTTCACTTGCAGGAAGAGTCACCCTTCATAAAAAGAGATATAGACTACTGTATTCACTTGACTGTAACAAGACCACAAATGTAATGCAAAGGCTGACTTTAGGCATCAAGAATATGGAAAAAACTTGCATTATATTCATGCAAATACAGTAAATGAAAAGAAGCATTCTCGTCGATAACACATTAAAAGCTTGTTAAAAAAAAAACACCCCCGGCAAAATGTACCAAAACTCTCTGTCTATAACACCACGTCATCAAAGGATACGTCCTTTTTTGCATGAATAGCAAAACTACAATTTTTTACAGACCCTTCTTTGCTGTGCAGTACATATATATGACTGTGTTTCTGCCCATCCTAGCTTTATTTGTAAATCTGTGTTCTTCCCATTGCATTCAGCAATCACGCCTACACCCAATCCTCGTTGCTATCCGATGCTGCAAGTGGGACAATTGATGCAAGCAGTGTGCCTATGTGGTGGTGCCTCTGCTGGTCAGCAAACGAGCTTCTGCAAGCCATGTCGTCTTTCATCAGAATTTTCGGCTCTTTCGACTGTGCCCACAAGTGGAGCATTTCGCAGCCCGATATGTCCATCACAGCCATGCGAATTACATGCAGAGTGTTCAACTTGGGTATCCGGCAGTTTCCATTGGGGCCGAATCAAAACATACCAGCAAATTAGTATTCTAATCAGCATAAAAAAAGTAAGAGCTCATTATTTCGGATTTCATGGGACCAAATAAAATGTTGAAATTTTCCGAATGCCACATTATCAAAACTACCAAGAAAATAGATAAATTCAGTAACTATTTTGCACGATAGCCACGATTTCAGTCATTCACAACTGCGGCTCAAGACCCTGGTGCCTTCGAAAGAAACGTGCTCTGAACCCATCTCTTGTTACGTACTGCAACCACTAATGCCACCATGCGCCCAAAACGCAAATTTTTACGCTCGGAAAATGGTTCGCAACTGAGCACTCGTAGCAAGCAAGTCTTATACAAGCATGCGAACTGTGGCTGAGGCTTTTTGTCTTTAACAGCTTTCACCTTGTTTGAATTTTGTGACATTACGCTCGTATTGCCGAAATCATAACTATGCCACTTAGTACCTAATGCACTGTGGACGAAACAGTGGTCGCTAAAGATAGAATCAGAGTATATATAGAGTTCTGAAGGCACGCGAGCAATTTCCGTCCACAGTCGAAACGAAACTGCTGAGCGTTGCGTGTGCTGCTAAATAAACCTGGCTCACTATAGTCGAATACACTTAGAAAGTTAGGGAAAGCCCCGCCTAGACGACCGAACAAGGGGCAGCCGATCACCTCAGCGGCTAAAGAAATAGTCCCGCTCTTGCTCCAGGCAACGTTCTTTGCAGTCGGGGTCAACAGTGGTCTGGCTCAAAAGGTCAGTCTAAGTGCAACCCCATTGGTGCAGACTTGTGTGTGCATCCGCCTTTGAGGAGAAAACAACACGGACTTCTAAAGTTGTAACCGACTATAGTGCACAATCATGGATGGAGACTGCGCAGTTCTTAATGCCTGTAGAGAAAACAAAACTACTGTTTGTGTCAGCTTCTACCCCAGTCACTATAAATGCATACCTGCCAACCTAGCAGGATGAAAATGCGGGAGACCGCAGCAGGGGGAAAGGGCGATGGAGGGATTTTCTTCTTTTTCTTCTTGTTTTTGCATATGTGACGTTACTGAAACTGAGACAGTTGTGATGCGCTGTCATTGCTTCTGTACACAGCGACTACGAAAGCACAATGGTTCAGGGCCTCCATGCATTGCGTTTTCGGCATCTACAGCCACTTCCCCAAGATGGAAGTTGTACTCGTGCGTCCGCACCTGTATTGCTTTGCACCCTCACACTTCGGGAGCTTTTTCCGAAACAATGGTCCTGCATGAGCACTTACGCTCAGCGGCAAGTTATGTTCTACAAGCAATTCTCTGAATAGGCATTCTGCGCTGATCGCACTCTCTTTGCAGCTCTTTTGGAAGAAACTTCCACAGCTCTCCTGCTTTTTCGCAGCACGAACGTACCCAATGCTTCTGTGAAGCGATGTCGGCCTTGCCACTGTGGAAACGCTTAAATCACAGGCGCATGTGGTATACAGAATTGATATTTGCCACCTTTTCGTGAAGACACAAAGCACGGAAACTCAGTTATGTGGAAATCCAGGAACACTTGCAAGCACTTCTTTACTTTTGAAACTGCCATCGACCTTCTAACTGAGCTCGAGGAAACACGCAAATCCCAAAACCACGCAATGAACACAACTCATGCCTAGGGAATTGGTGTAGGCCTACCGTAACCCGCAGCAGCAAGTCAGACGGATATGAGAGTTGTGGTCACCTTTCTTTTTGGTACGACGTTGACCTGGTCTCGCTGCAGCCGGCCTTCGTCCAGATGTGCGGTACTACGTGGCCTAAAATATACATAGTGGTACTCTACCGTATGGTCACAATGAACCAGAAGTGTATTGGCGAGTGCTCTTCCGCAGCACTGCAACTGTCGCAGCAGGAAAGGCTGACGTATGTGCGTACGCTGAACAAATGACTCTGCTGTGGCAACCACTTATTGAGATATTCAAGATACCATTCGTAAAATCAGGAGATTAGGCCAAATTCGCGAGTCTTCCGGACAAATCGGGGAAGTTGGCAGGTATGTCAATGTGATTATATAGATAGCGTCCAGGACGCACTTAGTATTCACCAAGGAAAAGCAGAACCGAAATAAGTTTGCAGCAGCTGCTGAAGTCTTGGTCGCCAACAACAAGAGTGTGGCAAGATTGCGGATGATGACCCCATTTTTCTGAAGGCCCACGATCGTCTTGGCTGTTCGCGAATGCCCTTTGCACTCCTTCGCATCGCCCATTTATGGTGCTTCGTGCCGCAATGTCGCGTCGAAATGTGACTGAATTAATGAGAGTCTGATGCCATTACACAATATGCATGCCTGCTCAGGGCATGTCCCAATTACCCTTATTTTGCATTAGCAGGGGCAAAATTAACAAGCTTTTACTGTATGGCAACTAGTTGCAGGGATTCAGCCTGTGGGCTTGTGAGCTCTGCTGAACAGCCGAACCACTGTAGAATACGCCAGACATGGCTGACCAAGCATACATTCATACTGCAGCGACTGACAGCCCAAAATTTGGAAATAAGCTTTAGTACCAGCAGCCAGCGACGACGTAAGACTACAGTGACAAAGGCACCACTATCCAACTGCCAGGCCTGTACATGCGCACCAGCTGATTACATCTGCCCTTTTCCGTGAGAGTGGGCACTTTTGCATTTTAGGATAATTCATCCTTACTCTATAAATCCATTTATGTGTTGCTTTGTTTAGCACTTATGCTACAATACCAAAAACCGTCCAACTGAAAGTGAACTCTAGCCAGCATAGCACTCCTACAAATACGAAAGTAATGTTCACTAAAGTATTGTTGTGAAATGCTATGGTTCATTGGCGAAGGCTTTTGCTGAATTCTCCAGTAGTCAAACACTGTATCGCAGATGGGGGGGCTTCACTCACCAGCCAGCACGTTAGGGGGTGGCCTGGTGGGTGCCACGGCCTCACAGCTGCTGCTGCTGCGGTCCTGCTCCTCGGGTGAGCATTGAGCAGCCAGGGACGAAGGCGGGGGCGAAGAGGGGGCAGCTCTGGGCGCACCGGGCTGACCCCCGACCCCGGACGCCCCGCCTCCTGTGCTGGTTGCTGTTCCGCCGCCCGTCGGAGGAGGAGCCACACCAACACTCGGGGGAACTCCTGCCAGGCTCTGATGGGTGGCAGAAAGCATGCACACAATATAAGCATGAAGGCAAACACACACAAAAAAAGCACCACAGTCACGGACAAGGGTCTGTTTGGCAAGGGGCTCAAACTATTCCAAAAAGGCACACATACTGTTGTGCTAAATATGACTTGCAAGATGGCAGAGCCTGGCTTCACTTGCCTTAAGATTGTGCATGGCTTCAAGTCTCCCTTATTTTAGCAACTACATAATATTTTTTATCAAGCATCATCCCAAAGTGACATAACATTATTTATTAGGGTAAATAAAAGCTAGTGGAAACCATGCGCAATCATCGAGCTCATGAGGCCACACACACCTGTGCTGCGTCATATCAAGTGCAACTGTACAAGTACCCTGAATCGGAGCAACTAACAAACTCACATTGAATCAGAGTTATTTTTCATATTAACGAACGTATGAGACCAGAGATGCGGTGTGTCTTTACCGCACTTTTATTTTCTGCAACTGACAAGAAAACAATGAATCAATTTTATTTTTTATTAAAACACATAAAACCAAACATGCGGCATTCCCCACATTTTTTTTTTCTTGGCCGTAGTTCGTTCACTGTGATAACCATCATCCCGAGTGAATTCAACATCTCCAAATTGACCACCTTATTAAAGCTCGCTTGCTGGATTTCGTGCTGACCGGTTGTGCCCTCGCGATCTCCGACGTCAGCGTAGCTCTGGCCGACTGGGCTCGCCCTACGTCATCTCCTGACGCCGACGACCTTCGACGACAGTGTAGCTCTGACCGATTGGACTTGCTCTACGCCACCTCCCGACGCCGACAAGAGCTTTCGCAAATGATGCCCCGTCCTCGGACTCCTGTGACCGTGTTTGCATCTTTCCTATCTCTCCTAGCCCTTCGATATGTCTTCGCTCTCTGGCTTACCACCTCACGCCTCTTTCTCTCTCTCTACACCTTTATTCCTATCCTTTTAATTGCTCCTCACCCCCATCCCTTGTGAGCTACTGTTGAGGTGTCGCTCGCTGAAGCAGACATTTACGGGGCTCACTTTTCTCTTCCTTTCTCTCTTAGAACCACTTGGTAGTAGAGTGCCCAGAACAAGGAAAAGGAACAGTAATTTTACGCAGTCAGTATCGATATGCAGAGTCCTACGATTCGTGATTCGAAATGCCACCTGACCCTCTGCAAATGTCCACAAAACAACAAATTCCCACTGCGACCCTAGGTTGTTAATATAGAGCAAGGTCAAAATGGGACAGGACATTCTTCGCCTATCAGCAAAAACTTCAGACTGATGTTCTCACGGCATTACTTTTATCAAGTATGTGGCAACTACGAGACCGTTTCTAGCCATTCTCTTCCACGGCTAGCCACCTCAAAGGAGCTTCTTGTTTCTCTGTCCCCAAACGGAGACCTATGCTGACGATTTTAAGAGCAAGCTACTGTAAAAGAAGTTACCCAGACAAGACACATTTGTTTTATTCTAAACATGGTGATGTGTAATTGAAGCCTCTCAGAGGGAAATTCTCAGATGGCTTTTGACAGTGGCGCTCAAAGGGACCATGCTGATGACGAGGACTTTTTAAAGGGTGATGAGGATTGTGAAAGCCCCGGCAGTGACAGCATGGATGAAGATAATGCTGCTAACCCACAAGGAGGAAGTTTCACTCTATGTTCCCCAGTGCTTTGGGCTTTTCCCACTTGTCTCCCTGACTAGATTAAATGTAGAATAGTGTTGAGATCAAACAAAACCATAGTCTTTTTTTTTTAAGTGATGTCCTGTAGTGCAAATTCTTGTGGCTTTTATGGAGCGTTGCATGCTGTCAAGAAGCTAAAAGAACGTAGTGCTGAGCGCAGGGAGAAATATGCCTGTCAAGCATAAATGAATGGGTTAAAGAACGTTTTTCTTTAGATTTGACACACTTTAGAACATACAAAAGGGGTTTTTTAGGAAGACTGTAGAGAACAGCTATACCACCAAAACATTATGGCATTTCCACACTATGAATATACAGATTATATCGGTACCTGCAATGCCATAGTTATGTAGCCCGACAAAGCACGAATCTTTATATTTTATATGACATCAGATATTAGTAGAAGGAGGCCTAATTAGAAGCACTACCTCTATTTTCACAACTACTTGTCATCACTTTATTGCCCGTGTCACTTGGACCCTAGAGACCATATGTTAGGTTAGGAAAGATAAGCGAATATCGACAGCAATACTATGCCATGCCAGTTAAGCATGGCTTGATTTTAGTTTGCAAAGAGATCCTGCTAATTCGAGTTGCATAATATACAGCCCCTCAGATTATTAGTTATTAAGAACTATTCGACAGAATCCAAGGCTCATGATAGAACGTGTGGACATACCAGAACTGTTCATAATAATGTGACAGATAGTCAAGACATCATAGAAAACAATGGGAGGAGAATCAGGTATGTGATGCCGCACTGATTCATTATCACAGCAACTGATCAGAATAATTTTCCAGGATTCTGCAGAGACATAAATTTGTTGACCACGACTGATATGTCACTGCCCCTTACAAAATACGTCTTTGTGCATACCGTCGCACTACGAGATAGGAACCTGTGTACAGGAATCATCAATCTCAGTTTCCTACATTTTAAAAAGGAAAGCAAAATCCATGCTTTTTCATGTAGTTCAGCAACGGCAGCATTCTCCCAACATAAAATGTAATGTATAGCAGCAACTAGGAGCCGTTGTGGAGGGCTTTGCCAAGAGACCAGAACCACAGCACATATTTAGCGTGATTATTATAACCTTGTCACAATAGTACTGGGCTATACCGCGTTAACATTACACCTATTAAGGATATCCGAGAGGTGCCGATACAACACAACGTCTCAATATCCATTAAACTGCTTGAACTCTAATGTCAGAAGTGTTAATTCACTCTGTCTCTCCATCAATATGCCTCGTTTAGACTGCGATCCGTTAATTGATAGCTATGCGACGGCTTATAAGTGCGCCAATTCGAGGAATTAGTAGCGCACGCCAGTAGCGTTGACGTCAGCCGCAGTATCAAGAAACAAGCTCGTGACCCGCAAGTTGCGAAAAAAAAATGAAAACGAAACCAGAAGCTACCTCAGTTTCGGAGTTAAAATGCTACATAATGTTTAAACAGCCGACTAGAGCAGCGCAGGCATCCAACTTGACAGGGGCGAAACTACGCCGAGCGAAACCCCGTCCAGTGCCAAACACCAACCAAGCCACCCACGGGACGATCCTGCCTAGGAATTACGTCGTGAAGCGCGACTTGAAACGACCACCGAAGGAAGGGGCGCGCGTACAGTCTCGACGAGGCGATGACTCTTGTAATGGGCATCATACAAGAGGAAATGTTTAAAAAAGAGAGAAAAACACAAAGACCATCGCTGGTCACAGCGGATATTCGATGCGAAGCGGGAAGTCGCAGGCGGCGCATTGGCTGCGATACCGGAACTCCGTGTGACAAAGTACTAACGGGTTGATCGGCGCCAAAAGGCATCGCCAAATGCGCAGCTCGGCCTACAAGAGAAAGATGCCGAGCAGCGGGGGGGAAGGCCCGAATCGTGGCTATTACGAATGATCGATATCTAAAACGGAGCCCATCTCCCGATGTAAATAAAGCCGGCTACCGCGACGCTACTAATACATATCGGCGCGCTCAGTATAAAATCTTGTCGCACACGCACTGCAGTCGAAACGGGATCGATGTGAAACAAAGTCGTCGAGGCTAGACGCCCTGCCCATCCAGCCGACGGACACGGATGTCACCCGGCAGCTTTACACGAAAGAAAGAACCACAGAGGGAAGAGCACCCCTACAACTCGGTAATGTCACCACGGCGACGAGCAAAGACTTGTCAGCCGCTTCTTCATTCGCGATCTAACGCTTTTTCCTCCCAGCAGCGCCGACAGCGAAGCCACTCGATAAGTCGGCAACTGAAGATCGGACACCTTGATCAAAAGGGTTATTCGAAATGATAGAGTAATCAAGGGCGAAAAGAAAGGGGAAGTCCAATCGGCGTTAGTGAGAAATGTCCAAGGTGCTTTCCGGAGCATGGCTACCCGCGCGGCAGTGTTCTGCTCGGCAGGTATTTACAGTTGAAACAGCTTACCTGTGCTTCCGCGGCTTCTGTGAGTGGCGTCTGTGTGTTAGCAGCGACCCATGCTTCTGCAAAAGTTTCCATGGCCGACTGGAAGTCCATTCTGAGCAAATATGAGTTCTCTGACACAACGCCACTCCTGCCTCAAGCCGACATGTTCACTCTACTGCGCTTGAAAAAATAGTCCTAAATAACTATTGTTATTACAACAACAGTAATAACGGAACTAGTATAAAACACGTATAATTATTTTATATGAGAGGTTTAAACTACGTACAAAGCATTTTAACAGTTTAATATGAGTAATAGTTACGAACGCGGAGTGATACACCGGAGCTTTCGCCCTCGCTCAGCTGTGTGTGCGGTGGTGCGTCTGAGGGTAAAAGCGAAAAAGTGGCCGATGCAACGATGGGACGATGTGTGGTGACGTTGTTTTGTATTTGTTCGGCTCTTGCCATCGAGGGAGCGTTTAATGATGGCGATCAGGTAAGCTGAAGACTTAAATCTGCACGTCGGTGTCATTATTGAGCCACGTCCGCGATTTTAAGCCTATTTATGTGCTATGTTTCATTCGAGTGCGATCGACGTCGCGTCTTCGGAGTCGTGGTAGGGGTGGAGGGGGCAGCGCTTTAACGCATTTTATTTCCTTTTCATCGCCGTTGAGCAGTCCACAAAAGGGTACGCCCGCTTTCTGTTGACTCTCAGATATGGTTCGTCAAACATCGCCGCTCGTTACGGTCTCTCTCTCTCCCATGGTCGTGAACGAGTGTGCTCGCGCTCCTTGAATCGGCGTCGTATGATTGCGTGCCTCCCTACTCCTGCGCTCGGCGGCGATGAACACAATCATTACAAAGCTCATTCGCTCGTCTTGATTTATTGACAACTGATCTCGGTGTCGCAATCCGTTTCTTTAACCCTCCAAGGGTTTATGAATCGCTGGTTGAGTCGTGATTAAAACGCGATGGGCAACGCTTTGCAAGCCGGTGTGTTTACGTTCGCATCTAGCAGCAGCTAGCTGCTGCATTTCTTAATCATCGTTCACGTTGATGCACGTTGTCATTTCTTTTCTTGCCAAGCCTCGCTCATCTCGATCTCTCTTCTTTTTTTCGCTCTCGTGCGCTTCGGTGGCTTGTCACGAATGACTTTTACTCTGTCTCGTGAACCGGTAGCTGGCTACGTGTCGTGCCTGAAGCGGCGCGGTTTCAAAACTGTCACGGAGGTTTCGCTCGGCGGTCGTCGTAATTCAGGCGCGTCTTTCGCGCGTACCATATCGTCTTTTATTAATTGCGCCCGGATTTCTGTGGAATTGCCTGAGCGCGCGATGTCTTCGCAGTCACCGCTTGCGGGTTTCGCGTGTGTCGCGCCAGGGAGGTGTGTTTTATTTTGTCACGTGGCAGAGTGTAACGTTGCGCTCTATCAGCCCCCTTCGCCTCTTCCATCCGTTTTCAATCTCACTTTCTTTTGTCGTTTTTCTTCTTTTTTTTTGCCCCCGTCGAGGCAGTTAAGCGGAAGGTAGTATGTGCCGCTTGCCGAAGCCCCCTTTCGCTCAACAACATTTTGAAAAGCGCCTCTTATATTCCGCAAGGGTTCAGGTAGGTACGTGAGCCGGGTTTTTATGTGCGTCAGCTTCGCCTCGCGTCATACTGAAGCTCGCCCATACTTCAGAGAAGTTTACAGCTCCGAAGACGCCAGCTTCAACAAGCAGGTGGCGCGCGCCTCCATAGGCAGTTACCTATGGCTGAGCCGAGAAGCGCAATTTACAGGAGGCTTAGAGCGAACTGCCAAGGAGACAAAAGGCGTCTCGAACGTTACCCGCTCACAGCAGCTGCTTTGCGACGCTTCGTGTGGAGAAGTTTTACTTACGAGCAGCCTCTGTTGTGGAGGCAGCCGGAACGAGACGCCTTTCTTCTTCTTTTTTTTAATGGTATATGCGTATACATACAGCGATATCGCGTTCCTGCGGTTTAGGTTTTTCGTGTTCGGTCATAAAAAACTGGCGCAGACGGAAAAACGAACAAGTGGGCGCAGGCTCTCTTGTGCCATTTTCTGCAACCCCAAGTCTTCCAGAGTCAGATGCAATTTCAGCGTGTCAAAATTTAGCTTTTTTTCTTCGCCACCTCTGTCGCTTGCGAAGGCTGTGAATCATCACGGGCTTCTCTTGTTACGCGCGCGTTATAACTGCCACATTCGGATGCGCGTTACAAGAAAACGCGAAAAATAAAGAATGTCCCTGCTTGCACTGTGTGGTGAGGAATGTTCATGTTAGTTGCCCCGGAGCATACCCGTCTGGAATTGTGAACTCGAGCACCGTATTTCGTTGCTGCACGAATTTTCTATTCAGGGTAGTCACCATGCTGAAACAGCGTTTTATTTATTATGTCTTGGAGGAATTTCGGGATAACGATGGAACTTGTAGAGTAAGACATAATTCTCCGAACGTTATAACGAGCATGTGTTTTCATAATGCCTTTGGGGCTTCGATTTATGAAAGCGATAGACGCAACTGCCTTGGAGGCTTGATGTGTGCCCGCGTAGCATAGGTGTGTTGCGGCAAATGGTCGAAATTACAAAGCACTTAGGAAATCCTCCGCGGTTCTTATGGCACAGTGATGCAGCCTACCTATAAATAGAGGATCTTTTGTTGGCTGTGTGACTTGATAGCAGGCGCCTTTTTTTTTTTCGAAATGATTGATCTGTGTATTTATTGTAAAGGCTGCTACACATGTGTACGCACATCATTACGCCACACTGACTGCCACCGGTTGTGGCTGTCTGCACAGAAGTTGAAAGTGCAATTGCACGGCTAAGAAATCGACCGGTATTGAAAGATTTAGTGTTTTGTGGGGACCTTTCGTGCAGCTTTCTAATTACACGTAGGTGTGTACGTTCTGTTGTGTGGGACGTAGCAGACACTTGAAAGCAGTTCCTGTTGGGTGGGAGGAGCAAGCTCTGCAGGCAACTATGGAACTCAACTACATGGGCGTAGCCAGAAAATGCGCGTACGTGGTAACGGCATACATCGAAATTCACAGGGCAAGCGCTAACTCGCTACTATGTTGTGAATAGAAACTTACCTACTTATAGTACCTTCTATATGTACTGTGCTTACAGTCAGCATACACAAGCATATACAATTGCTGTACATATGGTACATACTATATGAACCGACAGCATGTGCAAGTGCAGTACCCGTCATAATCACACACACCCACACACATAAGAGGTAGAGTCTTATCGTCAGAATGCAGATGAAAGCATCAAACCTAAAAGCTTTCTTGTTGCGCAACACTACAGATACATCAGTGACACGATTAGTCCTTTTGTTTTTTCCTAACAAGGTACGCATCCATACGTTCTCCCTAGAAGGATATCTTCCATGGACATACCCTTTATGTTATTTAGTGCGCGTGTTTGTATGTTGTGTAAACTTTTTTTTCGCGCTACTATTAAAGAAAATCGATGAACAAAGAACGGGACGGGAGTTTGTGTGCAAAGCACATGCACAGTTTGAAAATTTTGGGGAGGTCTTGAACCCTCCCCGACTCGCCTAGCTACGAGCCTTCTGAATGGCTGTTATTGATACGCAGGTTCGGTTCCTGCTCACGGCATGCTATAACATTAGGGGAGCCCCTTTCCTCTCGTGAGGAGGGAGAATGGTGACGCGCAAAGCTTGGCGTGTGCTTGTACGACCCAATTAATTTTAAGTGAGGAGTACTCTATAGGGGGCGACACTGTCGTATGCTGTCGTCTTCGCTTGGCGTAATTCACAGCAAAACCATGGGTACAGCGTAGCCAGCTGTAGGCATACCGAGACCATAGAGGAGTCTTCTTAATCTTGTTCTTCGAGCGCCCTGATGGTCATATGACACAAAGTGTGGGCATTACTACTGTATGGCTAGGAGGGAAACGTCACGAACATGAACCACGTGTACGATTGAACGAGGAAGCGAGCTAGAAAGAGAGCGAAAGAAATCGGAACTGATTGGAATAAAAATATTACTAAATTGCAAAAGGAGGGAGAAAGATAAAAACGAAAAGGAAACAAAAGTCTGCCCAGCTCCGCACTTCGCTCATGCTTGGCACCGTCAAGGAGAAGCTGTCTGTCTGTCTACCGGAATCGCGCAGTGCTCCCTATTCATTTATGCATGCCGGCAATCGTACATTACACCCGCTTGCTTCGCAGCGCAACGCTTCTGTTGCTACGTGTGCAAAGGTGGTGTATTGAGCTGATGACGGTGCTGGATCGCCGATCTCGTGCCATCGTCTCGTGGTGATGATAGTTGAGCCCATCATATCAACATCTTTCTTCTTCATTCGTACAAGAATGACGGTCATGCGTGAAACACTCGAAGACATCAATGAACATATTTTATTAACTCGGCGCACGACTACGCGGACACAAGTAAAGAAAGGACAAACCGCAGCGCTGCGGGTATGTTTATACCAACTGGCCCGACTTTCTGTTCTTCTACACCAATTAAATGTGGCAGTGACAAGTGATCCTAGATAAAAGATCAGATTTGGCTATCGGAAACGGCTGATCGCTGATAAGCTCACGATCGAGAGAGCATAATTACTGGAATACGGGGCAAACAGATTCGGACGTGACCGGCGCAGCTTTCGATGGTCGAAATAGTGTAGACCCGCATTCCTGTGCACACCGCCGGTGCTAGAGGCCCCTTTATATCTTAACACCAAAGCACCCAGAAGGGACGGCTTCATGCTCTCCCATAGTAGAGTACCTGATACTCTAAATAGTTACCCACTTTTCTGAACACACAGAAACTAAAGAAGTACCAAGCGAATTTAGAGAATGGTACACCGTATTGTCAATACCAAGCAACATGGACCCTACTCTGCATGCTGGGAGAAGAAAGGCAAGGGCTGACTACATTGACAAAATGACAATGATTTTCTGAACACGGCCAGATTCACTGACGCCGCGCCTTATCAGACCATTGCAAAGAGATCTGTGTGTGTAGTCACCGACCGTAGAGGGAAAATTACAGCCATGCGCTTCAATAGATCAGGTGTCGACAACACAGGACAGAAGAGGTCGCCCTAGCACTCGCAATAGAAGAGGGATGGACGCGAAACGCTCCATTAAGAATCATTACAGATTCGCAAAAAGCTTGCAGAAACTTATCTAAAGGGCGAAATTGGGGCACAGGCGCTCCGTATATTGGTTGGGACAGGATGGGACCCCACAGTAAAATACGTACAGGCTGTGACTTGGCCGGGCCACGAGGGCGTGACAGGGAACCTGCATGCGGACGAGGCGGCTCTAGGCATTACAAATCACCGAGCCACTCAAGACAATGAATTGTTGATACTACACACCTGGACCCTTGTTTCGCAACGATTCTAAAGTACTACAGGGAAAATAGGCAGCTGTATCCACGTCCTCATAGCAATCTCAACCCTGTGAGGCAGCAGTGCTAAGAAGAATACAGACTAACACCTACGTAAATCTACACAATTTTCAC